GGCCCGAATTAATTAATTGGATTAATTAATTCATGGATCAGATTTAATTAATTTGATTAATTAAATATTGGACTGTGTTAAGTTTAACAGATGGACCGAGCCCATTTGGACTTATATTAATAGGCTACTAGGGTTTGAAAACAGTATGTAATTTTTCATTATTCTTGCTAGCATAAGAAAAGAAAACTCTAGCCGTCATTCTTGTTCTCTGTGTGGATCACCATTGGAGGCTGGACAATTGGACAGTTTGGATTGCAGATCGTGATTATTGGAGTTCAAGAAAAAGTAAAAGAGTTTGTGGAATTCATCAAATGTATCATTCTCATCACAGTTTCTATCTAAACACATTGCAGATACTCATTTAGAAATTGAAAATGGTTTTATTTCCGCTGTTCATGATTAAGTAAATTCCTAACAGTTATTAATCATCCCACTGACGTCCCTCCACAGGGCGGTGACTGTCGGTTGCAAATAACCTCTTTTTAGCCTCCATTCATCTTCAATTCTAGATTTTTTAAGTCTTCTTTTGCAAAACCCAATAATTTTACGAGAAGAGATCACAAAATTGCAGTTCTACCAAATTTTATTGGCCACAATCGAAACAATAATCCATTGATTTATTGCTATTCATTCATTCATAAAAATAATTCAACAATCATAATACATTCATATAATTTAGAGATTCTTATTCATCACTTAACTGAACATACAATTGCAAGATTTTAATTTGCACATTATAGTTAATTATAGACCTATACTTTGATACCAATTGTTGGATATTTAGATTCGAAGAACATGAATGACAATTTTTTTCTTTGACTTGGGACCAAAAAACTTTTTTATATTACTATACATAGCTATAAATTAATCACATTGGCGTTTAAAGTGATACCTATCTTATGATTAATTCTATGTAGTTTCAAATACCTATCTTATATACACACACACATATATGTATGTATGTATGTATGAGAAGCGGTCCTCTCCCACCCCTCCTACTTATACATAAAAAATGTATATAAGCGGTTATCGAAAATGATGTGGAGGGAAAAGATTTGGGCGTGTTTTGTAGAGATTAAAATTGAAAAACTAGCAGTTATTGTTGACTTTTATTAGATGAGCAGACCCAATAAAGGCTATATTTTCAATTTTAATTGGATTTTAAGTTGGACCGAACACGCCCTTAATGAAAAAGTTGATTGTGTTTTATATTGACAAATGGTAAGATTTAATGTGATATTATGTAATTTATTATGTAAATTTTGATTAAAAAAAAAATTACAATTACTCTCTCATTCCGTTTTCCCCCACCTGCCATTGGCATCTCAAGAAAAAATATACAGATGCAAGAAACATGTTCTAGAAATTGACAATACATTTACATCCCACTATTTGTTAAAGAAATGGAAGTTTTTTTTGGATAAGGTAAGTTTATTATATTCAAAGTGTAAAAATAAAGTACAAGATTACAGGGGCATACCTCAGAAAAACTAGGCTAGGAATAAATGCCTTCCTAGCACCAATAACAATAACCTAGATTAGTGTTTCTAACTTAGTCATGACAATAGAAAATATTCGCAGAAAATCTCCATGAGCATTAGAGCTTGAATATAACCAGCTTATTACTTTGGGTTGGTAGATAATTGCATCCCACAAACTTCAAAGAACGCCTAAGATTCTTTCCAGGTCATAATTAAAAGGAAAAGTTGAGAAGGATCGATGGCCCTACAGTTTCATGACAGGCATGTTCACTTGCAAACCCTACAAACAAAAAGAAACTAAAGGAGTCAAAGCAAAAATTGTTGAATTCCTAAAGAAAAAAAGAGAAAGAACCTATGGCCCATATGATCATCATTTAGTAACAAGTTTGGTTGTTTAATTGCAGAAGATATACCCACAGTTGAACCATTTTAACATGTGTTTCTCGGTTAGATAGAATTCATTTTTCATCAATTTTTATAAATGAGTGATAATGAGACTTGAACTTAAAATATTTTTCGAATCACTCTCTTAACTCTTTTTGACGAGGTGTTTGGACATCTACCATCTTATAAGTACTAGTGTTCTCAAGCGGCTGAACTTAGGAGATCCCATTGCAAGACATATGGGTAAGAAGGGAACTAAAATGCTGAGTTTCTGGTTAAACAGAATAAGGCCACTTGCTCGGGATCGTTCAGAGTCACCTCCTATACACTCCAAAAGACATGCAAATTTTACCAGTGCCAATACTGATCATGAGAAAAAGAAAGAAAATCCAGGTGATGTTATGAAGGCTGGTGTAATGATTGGCCGGAAAATCATGATCGTGGTGGATTCAAGCCTTGAATCCAAGAATGCACTGCAATGGGCACTTACTCATACAGTTCAGACTCAAGATATGGTGATTCTTCTCCATGTAACAAAGCCTTCAAAACGAGGTTTGGGTTTCTGGTTTTATGATCTTTACTTGGGTTAGTACTGGAATGCAATGTGAATTTGTGTGTAAAATAAATTTTTTTTGGCAGGTAGGGAGTGCAATAAAGGAATCAATTCAAGAGTTTTCGAGTTTCTTTCATCTATGAAAAATGTGTGCCAGCTGAAACGACCTGAGGTGTGTTGTGAGTTTTAATCTCTTGATGGATATGATTATCTGTTTTTCTTGAATCCCTTCAATGAGACGAATTCAGTTATTTAGATTAGTTTTAAAACACTTTATTTCACGTGCACGCTAAATTTACTTATAAATCAAAGGCCTAATAGATAGAAGTCTCACAATTAGATTGCGGCGAGGCTGCAACTAAAGCATTTGTTAGCTTTGATACTGTGTTGAACCACTTCATCTAAAAGTGTAATCTTTGAAGAAAATATCAAGTCATACTCTCACATGAGGGCATCTAAAAATAAAAAAAACATAATGACTTACGAGACTCGTACACTTCCGTTTGGCACCTTTCTTGATTCCTCTAGTGGCTTAAACTTTTGGACGATGTAATTTAACACATATATGTAGTATCAAACTAGACAAATCATTAGATAAAGGCTAACCACCATCAAATCATATATAAGAACTTCACATCTAAAACCTTCGAAGAAAAAAATGAACATGTCAAGCATATAATGGAATGTTGAAAATAAAATTTCAGTAATAAATTTTTACTCTCTATAGGCTAAACCTTTTTACACAAATTGGTTCAATAATTGTACTATTTAGTTCGATAAAAGTGTGACCAGCTCATGGATCAAGTCTATAAATAAGAGTTGGAACATATATTAATGTATTGGGTTATTTTAGAACAAAATATCTTCATTTTCTGCAAATTAAAACAGGTGCACATTGAGGTTGCTGTGGCAGAAGACAGAAAGAAGGGTCCTGCCATTGTAGAAGAGGCTAAAAAGCGAGGGGTGGCATTGCTAGTTCTTGGGCAAAAGAGAAGGTCCCTTACATGGAGACTTATGATGGTGTGGGCAGGGAATAGGACTGCAGCTGCAGGTGCTGGGGTGGTGGATTATTGTATACAAAATGCTGGTTGCAGGGCCATTGCTGTGAGGAGGAAGAGCAAGAAAGTTGGTGGATATCTGATTACAACTAAACGTCAGAAAGATTTTTGGCTTTTGGCTTAAGATCAGCTATTAATTATATATACAGAATTCAGTGAAGTTTGGAGTTTTTAAAGCAAGTTACGTCTAAAGTCATTGTTAGGCATGGGCATGATTCGAGTTGGGTTAATTTTGAGTCCAACTTGTAACCAAAATCGACTGCGGTTTTGGGTAAATTCCATCCCAGACTAACCCAATCCAACCATTGAATCTGAACCGAACCAAATCAAATCTGTTTGGATCAGTTTGGTTTGGTTAATCGGTTTGGACATTGATGCAACTTAAAAATGAAAAATTGCTGATCTATTTTTAAATTTTTTTTTTTGTCTTTCTATACATATATATTTTTTCTTGCATAGTGCATATCAATAATATATATAATGTAAATGGTAGTGGGTTGAATTTTTCAAAAGTATCGTATATATCCGATAGTTACCAACAGACAATTACATCAAAAATGAAAAGTAATGATACAATCTAAATTTGGAATTTACGACAAACACTTCTTCTTTTTGCTTTCTTTTCTTTCGAAATTTGGAGTTATGGTAAAGGAAACGTAGACAGTAAATAAATTATTTGAAAATAAAAATTATATTTTTGTTCTTTTTATTTTATTTTTAAGGTTTAAAAAGATGACTTTTAAAATGAAAAAAAAAAAATTTAAAACTGTGTTAGCAGGTTGGATCGATTAATTGATGGGTTGGTTGCATAAACCAAAACTAACCCAAGCCGACTTTATAATTGTTAAAATTAACCGAACCAAATTGATTTTTTAGTTCAAACCAACCCAAACCGACCGAGTCGGTTTGGTTCTATCTATTTGATTAATTTTTCGATTTTTTCCCCCACCCTAGTCATTGTGCTTAGGCCACATCTACTGGTGTGTCTTTTCTTGGTCGGAGGAGAGTGGATTTAACATTTTTGCCTTACTTGTAAATGATATAATTAATTATAGGGATTCAAGAAAGACGAAAAAAGAGAGAATTATGAGATCAATGTGGCAAATGCCATCATTGTTAGACCTCCAGCGGCAAATAATTAACAAATTAGTTTTATTGGGTTGGCATTGGTGCACAAACTTGACTTGTTTTTGGCATTTTTTTGTTGTTAAATAGATATTTGTTATTTATTTATATACTTTTTAATAGAGTATTGCATTTATGATATGAGCATGCTATTAAATGCATTTGATCGCTTTTTGATAATATAAATAAGAATAATGCTATTCATCCCCACTGGGATTGAACTTCAATCTATGTGACAATTACATGACATAAAATGATAGATTCAATTAAATGAGTCATGTGACTTTTTATTTAAATAAACCTATCATTTAATGCTATGTAATTGCCACATATGCTGGGGCTCAACCCCGGTGGGGATGAATAGCATTACTCTATAAATAATATGTTTGCATTGAAAAGCGCACATAGGTATAATTGTTGACCAATGGTTGATTATAACCTTAAAGTTTTGATTAATAGCAAATAAGTTAATCTTGTTTACTAATAAATTGAATTCAAATGATTATAGTTTTCAAAACATACTATAAAATTGATCGATGGTCACCAATAAATCAAAAACTATCATAAAAAATCGGACTCATAAAGAAGGTCGAGATCGAAGTCGCACATTCAAGAACTTAAGAGCCAAATTTCAAAGTAAGATAAAAAACTTGATTTCTTAAATAAGTGTAAAGGTACTAACACTTAGATATTTAGCTATGAATGCTTAAACTAAAAATCTTTCTATACATTAAAAACAATTTTATACATTAAAATTTATTCTAATGCAATGCTTTGATCAATTATAAAAATGATTTTCAAAATGATATTTGAATTTAAAAGATAATTTTTTTCTTGAAAAGTTCGTTAAAAATACTTTTCAAAAGTCTATGTTTTTCAAAACTTTCGAATAGAGTCAAATGGGACCAAAACGTAAAAAGACAGAAACTGTCGGGCAGTTGACTGGCCAGGAGAGGCGGTCTACTAGATAAAAGAAACGGTCGACTGGAAGTTTTCAACGTTCCAAAATTTGACCGTTCTGACCTCTGAATTTTACTACAAACAACTATATTGGTCATCCGGACAAGAGACGGTCAACCAAGAGAGTCATCTTATCTCACATATTTTTTTGACGTTTTGAACTCTATAAATATCCTAACTCTACAATTCTTCATAAGACTTTCAAAAGAGTCAAAGTGAGATATATTAAGAGATTTTTTTAAACTTACATTTACATTCATTTTATTTATTTCTTCATATAAAAAACTTTTAATTGATTCAAACTCTGTAATTATCATCTTCATCAAGTTTTTCACATCTATTTTTGTACTTAACGTATTTCTATTACTCATAGAAGAGAGATGTTTTGAAGAAGATCTTTGAACTTACATTGCAAATATTATTTTTTTCTACTCATTCATATTGAAAAGTTTGATTAATTGAATCAAACTTGTTAATCATCAAAGTTTCTTATTTATCATTTGGTACTTAATTTATTACAATCATTCATTAAAAGAAATATATATTTTGAGAAGATTTTTGGACTTACATTGTACTTATATCTTCTTCATCTTTATATTAAAAAATTGATTGATTGAATAAAATTGTTAATTATTGTATTTATCAAAGTTTTTCATCTAACAGTTAAACTATTATTTATTATTATTCATTGAAGTGTTAGCATGTCTTAGTACTTAATTCATTTATATCATTTATTAAAAGAGAAATTTCATTGTAAAATCATTGCTCTAAACTTTTGGGTCGTATTGAGAACTTGTGAATGCTCAATAGTATGAGGATCGGTGCTCATTGTTGTAAGTTACCGTGTTGATCATATTGGGGTCCCATAAATGTTAATATTGTATAAGGATCCGTGCTCATTATTCGTAAGTCACCGGAAGCATTGTTAATGGTTGAATTGAACTATAAGTCAATCAATATAGTGAAAAGGCATTGCTCGTACCGGAGAGCTTGGTAACGGAGGGCGTAGATCATTATTTTTTATCGAACATCCACAATTATATCGTTTGCATCCTTTCTTTCCTTTTACTTATCACTTTCATATTTTCATTTATTATTTGAACTAATCTATTTAGTCTTTACTTGATTGAATTTAGATTAATTTTTCAAAAAAGTTTTAAAAATCAATTTACCCCCGGTTGGTTAGTTTTTTTGGGCTATCAATTTGTATCAGAGCAAGACGATCATTTTTAAAAATCTCACAATTTTGAGTAATGGCTAAACACAATCTTCAAATCATTGAGGAGCATTCTACAAATCGACCTCCTTTTTTTGATGGTACGCATTTTAATTATTGAAAAACTAGGATGAAGATTCATGTTCAATCCATAGATTATAATGTTTGAGAGGTCATTGAATTTGGTCCATATGTGCCTAAAAATGTTATTAAAGAGAATGGTAAATCGATCAAATAATTTCTAAACCTAAAGAGGAATATAATGAAGATGATAAAAGAAAATTTCCTTTAAATGTTAGAGCCAAAAATCTATTTTATTGTGCTTTAAATGAAAATGAATTTAATCGTATTAGTACATGTGATTCCGCATATGATATTTGACATCATTAGCAGTTCCTCATGTTGGTACTAGCAAAGTAAAAGAAGCTAAGATAAATCTATTAGTTAAAGATTTTGAAAAATTCTTCATGAAGCAAAATGAACCGATTGTTGATATGATCACTCGTTTTATCGATATTGTTAATGGTCTTAAAGGATTTGATAGGAAATTTACTAACGGTGAACTTGTGAGAAAAAATGTTTGGGTCTTTTTGGAGAATTGGAGCTCGTTGAGAATGTTGATAAGATATCAACTCTTATCCGTTGAAAGAACTCTATGGAACATTGATGACATATGAGCTAAATGGTACCGAGACACACGAAAAGACAATGAAAAGCAAAGAAGAGGAAATTCGCCAAATTGCTTTAAAATCCGTAATTGATGAAGGCACTTTAAGCAAAAATTTGAAAGATAAAGAACTTGATGGTCTAATTCTTCTTGTTAAGAAATGTAGAGGTTTCCGCGATAATTGTCGATTCCAAAAGGAAGAAAAAGGCAAAGAAAAGAAAGATTCATTAAAAAAAAAAAGGCACTCCAAACAATATGGGATGAAAGTAACGATAATGACCATGAAGAAGATAAAAGTCAAGAGAAAATTGTCAACACGTATTTCATGGTTATTGAAAATAAGGTAAATTCAAATGAAAATTGTTCACATCATAAATTATTTACCTCTTATGGTAAAATTCTTGAAAATTATGAAAAACTTGCTTTAGATCATTCGATCATCAAAAAAAAAATCTTTATTGGAAAATGAGGTAAATAAACTTTTAGAAATTGAAAAAGATTTTGAAAAGGGAACAGTTGATTACGATTCTCTAATTAAGGAGAATTCCCCTTTACAAAAAAAAGATTTTAGATTTGACTCAATTCGTTCACAAATTTATTCAAGGCAAGAAAAATTATGATTTAATGCTTGGTGAACAAAAATGTATCTTTGATAAATGAGGAATTAGATAGAAACCATTTTTAAAACAAAAATCTCTTAAATTTTTATTTATTTATTTATTTATTGTTAACGTCTCTAGTTCTCCCATTCCAAATGTCACGTGGTTTTTGTAACAAAAATGGGTATGTAAGTTTTAATTGTTCAATGAAAAAGAGGTTGCACCTCGATGACAACTACAAGTAGATTCAAAAGTCCACTAACACTAAATACCAAAGACCCAAGGTCGTATGGTTACCAAAGATAAAAAATTGAATTATTTTTGTAAGTACCAATAAAATAAAGAGCAAATGGACCTTGGATAACGGATGCTCAAAGCACATAACCGGAGATCAAACTTTATTGTCAAGTTTTAAAATAAAGAATTGTGGTCATGATACTTTTGGAAATAATGCGAAATAAAAAATCATTGACATTGAAATTATTTATAATCATTCATCTCTTTTTATTTAAAACGTTTTCTTAGTAGATAACTTTAAACGTAATCTACTTAGTTTT